TGACGGCGTGGAGGATGGACCAGGTGGTGCTGCAGCCGGTGGCTGGATGGCTGTGACGGCAATGGTTGGCATGGACGTGTTGGTGGTGAGGGGTGATCAGCGGATGTAGTCGTCTCACAGGCTGTAGTTGGCCGTGTCCCCTGTTGTAGTCGCACGTAGACCAACCGTAGTTGCCCGTGTCCTAAGTTGTAGTTGCACGTACGCCTTGGACTGTAATGGGCTGTGTCCAGGTGTAGTCACGAGTGTCCTCAAGTTGTAGTCACAGGGTCCACCAGCTCGGCTAAAAGTCTAAATTTGTATTCCCTTTTGGAATTACCAGGGCCCGCTCAGCGCGTCTGGCAGGCCAGCAGCGGCCCGTCAGGGTCCACTCCGGCCAGCAGAGACGAGCGACGCGGCAGTCAAGCGAGCGCCAGGGGTCTTTGGAACCCTAACCCTAACCCTAAGGAAAATTGGCAGTCTAAACTGAGTAGGGCTACTATTCAAAAGTTGTTCAGAAATGACTTTTGAACAACTTTCATTATGCTCCCCTACTTGGTTTATTTCTCAAGACATCTTGTAACCGCCTCTCCCTTGCCTGATGCTTTGCGGTCTCACACACCGCCGTACTCTGCTGATCTCTGCGCCAACGCTGCCGCCACTGCTGACCTCGACCTTTGCCGCCGCGTCTGCCTCTGCCTGCCCTGGTTGATGCGTCCTGCTTCTGCCGCCGCCCCTCGACGCTGCCCAACTCCAACTGGTGCGCCGCCCTGCCGCTGCTCGCCCCCTGCCACCTTGACGCCGATGCTTGCTGCCCCTCGCCTTTGCTTGCCATCTTGTTGCTCTGCTCCGCCGCCTCACCACAGCATCTAGACTAGATAGTTGGAATAGATAACATGCACGCCAATTCGATATGACTGTGCTATCGTGTCACAGCCCTGGCCCAATCGGGGCTGAGCGGCGCAGGCCAGCGGGGCAGAGGATTTCCGGAGCCGAGGTGAATTCTCTCCGCGCGGCCGCAGAGAGGAATCATCGGGCCGCCAGCAATCCCCTGCGCGTTGGGCGACATCGGCACGCACTGTGCGGCCCCGCAGTTGCTCCTGCTGGCAGGAGGATGCTTCGGATCCGCACCGAGGGCCAAGGGCTAGGCTTCGGGCACGACGGTGGCGTCCCACCTCAGAGCAACGCCCTGGGATGACAATGGAGGACAATAGGACAATAGTGGCCACTCCTGATTGGTCGAGGCAGGGATGCCTTGACACCGTAGGTAGATAGTATATAGCCTAGTCCTCCTCCGCATTGGTAGACTGGATGCCCCTCATCCAGTCTAGTCAATACCAGTCCTCACAGCTTGCTCTTCTTCCATTGACGTGAGAGCCCAAGGCTACCGTTGCCTAGCAAATATGACGCCTATCGACAGATCACCTTGCCAGCTCACTTCCGTAGTCATCCTTGACCGTGGACGCCTGCCAACGGTGCTCACAGCCGCCCCCGGTATCAGCCCGCCATTCCCGAACCTCGCTCGCGCCTCTGACAGGAGCACCAAAGCGATCGCCCTCCAACGCGCAGAGACTTCTCTGCCCCTTGGATACTCCTCTGCGCACCGCTAGGTCGACCGTTACAGGGGTCAAAATTCCCTCAAAAATCATGGACGGTCCCCAGCCCTAGCAGATGGCCTGGAAGGCACCCTGACATGCTCAGCAGGCCCAGGAGCACTGTCTGGCCCTCCCTGGCCCTGCCCAGGCCACCAGGATGGGCCAGGACTGCAGCCTGGCCAGCTGGAAATCCAGGGTAGAACAGGCCAAAACTGCCTGCTGGCCTAGCTCAGCCATCTGGGAGCAGATCAGGCCCATCTTAGGGTATGTTGTAACCCTGGGACAGGTGCCCATCCCTGGCATTTTTGCAGGATTTTACCTGCCAGCAATGGTGCCTTGCCAGGCCAAAAACAGCTGGGAGGGGTGCGAGAAAGGGGGGTCATGATTCCTTCAGACTCTTGTATGTCAATACAAGTCATTATGGCTCAGAAAGAGTCCTGATACTTTCAGCAAGCTAGAGAAGTTTGTTTGGCCTTGCCTAGCAAGCTCAAGAGAGCAAGCGCATTAGGGCATAGCATTGAAAAGTCACTGCAAACCAAAGTCTCTGTCTGAAAAAAGCTCAACCAAAACTCAAATTTCAATTTGAAGTCATACAATGTGACAGGACCTTTTGCGTGCAAAGAGTTGCAACTTGGAAGACATGTGCAAAGGGGCATGGTGGATCTCCCCTTTTTTTGGGTTGCAGATTTTTCAAATTTTCAATTTCCCGCCTGGTCTGAGCGGGGAAAACTAGGCCGAGCGGCCGCCACACTACAGCGGCGCGCGCGGGCCTCTCCGGGCTGCGCGGCCGCACCCCGAGCTTTTTTGGTGACACAGCGAGACGGCGGGCTAGCCGCGTCGCAGCGGGCACTCGTCGCAGAACACGATCGCGCGCTCGATGCGAAGGCGGACAATCTAGGTTCGGGCAGGACGATGTCGGTCTATATACGAGCGGGAGGGTTGATCTTGATCTAGATAGAAAGGCGCGAACGAAGAAGGAAGAACGAGGAGCGCGGAACGAGGAGCGCGGAATGAAGGGGAACGCCCGGCTAGACGGTCCACTGGCGTCGGAACGAGTCGGCGTACCGGCGGAGCAGCGTCTCGTTGATGCGGGGACAGGCGCGGAGGGCGGGGCTCACGCTCTGGGCGCGCGAGGTGTCGAGCGGTTCGCGGGGCAGGTCGACGCCGAGGGCGGTGCGACGCTCGTCGAGCCGCTCGAGCGCCTTCATGTACGCCAGCATGCGCAGCGCCGGGTTCTCGTCCTGTCCTCGCTTCGCCGATGAGGAGGCGTGGGCCGTCTCGATGGCACGGCGGTAGGCGGTGGGACGGAGGAAGCGCGCCGAGTCGATGCGCCCGTGGCTGATGATGCGCGTCCACATCCCTGCCCACTCGTCGACCCGCAGCCGGTGCGGGTTGGCGAGGTGGTACACTTCGACCCTCCGCTTGGGCCCTCCGTCTGTAGCAGCGCCGACAATGTCGGCCATGGCGGCGCCGCAGACGTCGCTCGGGATCCAGTCGGCGTCGGCCTGCGGGGCGAGAAAGGCGCCGTCGAGCGACGAGACCGACGAGAGGATGCAGGGCGCCACCTCCGAGTTGGGCTTCCACCATCCCGTGCGCGAGTCGCCCGAGATCTGCGAAAGGCGGTGGATGGCGAGGCGCGGCGCGTTGGGCAGCGAGGCCACCGTCTCGGCCAGCAGCGCCTCAGAGACAAGCTTGGATGCGCCGTACGCCTCGTTGTCCGTCAGGCGCAGGCCTGGCTCCAGAGCCACGATCGATTCCGGCAGCGCACCCGCTTGCAGCTCCGTCGGATCCCAGCTGGCGATGCGGGCGGCGGCGACCGACGAGACAAAGTGGAATTCGATGATGCGCTTGGACGCCGCGCACAGCTCGAGCAGCCTGAGGAGGCCATCGAGGTGGCGCGAGTAGCCCGAGAGGCGCGGGCTGTAGGCGATGCGCCAGGCCGAGTGGACGACGGCATCGACGCGCGAGAGGAGCGAGGTGTAGGCGATGCCGTCCCGCAGGCCCAGGCCTGGCGCGCACATGTCGTCCGTCTCGAGGATCTCGAGCTGGCCCCTCTCGAGAGCAATTCGCAGCGTACCAACGTCGGCCGGAGCGAGGATGTCGTCCGCGAGCGAGTAGAGGCGGTCGTAAGCGCTGGTCGACTTGCCTCGGCGCGACAAGCAGATGACCGAGTGGCCGCGCCGGACGAGCGAGACGGCCAGGTTCGAGCCGACGGTGCCCGTGACGCCGGTGAGCAGCACGGTTCGCTTGGTGGTGGCGGGTGCGGCCTGTCGAGCTTCAAAGTTGAGCTGTCTGGCACGCCCCTTGAGGTCGGCGAGCAGCTGTCGGCATTCATCCTCGAGGCGCAGCTGCTCTTCGTCGGCAGGTGGACGCTCGATCGTCGTCTCCCGAGGTGCAGCTTCGAGACCTGGGTAGGTGGCCTTCGCCGCCTCGGCGCCTTGGGATTCGGCATGGCAGAGCTCCAAAACCTGTGCCGCCGCAGCATCGACGGTCGATGCTGTGTAGAAGAGGTCGACGGGCACCTCGACGTCAAAGGCCTTCTCGATCCTCGAGATGGCCTGGGCCGACGTCAGCGAGTCGAGTCCGAGGTCAAACAGGTCGCGGTCGCCTGCCAGACTCTGGTCGAGCTGCAGGGCCTGCTCGCATGCCGATCGGATGACCGCGGCGATGGCGTCCAAAGATACCTGACCGCTCGTTGACTCGGTTGTTGCGAGGAGTGCATGAGCTGAGACGCCCTCGACAGCCTCAGGGACCGACGCTGGTCCGGCGGCTTCGATGATGGAAAGCACCTCCCTGGCGGCCACGCTGATGGTCGAGGCGGTGTAGAAGAGGTCGAGTGGCAGCTCGACGCCAAAAGCGTCCGACAGGCGGCCAAGGATCTGAGCGGACGAGAGCGAGTCGAGGCCAGCTTCGAAGAGATCGTGGTCCGGTGCCGGCGCCTGGCTGAGATCGAGAGCCTGCACGCACGCCGATCGCACGGTCGCGACGACAGATGCCAGGCTGACGGCAGGGGCGGTGGCCACTTCGATCGACGTGAAGTGTTTGGCATCGCCGGACGGCTGCGAAGACGCAGACTGGACAGTGGTTCCCACACTGGACGAGTACCTGCCGTTCTCGTTGGCATCGACCGAGGACCCGCGGGACGAGCCCGTGGCCGGAGTGTACACCTCGACGAGGCCTTGAGCAGAGGCAGGCGATCCGCCGAGCGCCGGCTCGCCCTTGAGTACCTTTTCGGCAAAGAGCAGGATGGAGCCTGCGCCCTCAAGAGCGGGGTGGTGGGTGTGGACCGTCTGGAACGACTGTCCCAGCAGGGCGACCCACTGCTTCTCGGTGAGCACGGCGTGCTTGCGCGTCTGCGGCCACCAGTCTGGGAACGCGCCAAACAGGTGCTCGATGAAGATGGCGCCCGGTCCCTGCGACTCGAGCAGCTGCGCGTCGAGCTCCCACGCGTACAGGCACCCGTTGGGGCGCAACAGGCTACGGAAGACGCCCAGGATCATGTCGAGGTCGGTGGCAATGTGCAGAACGTCGGCGCTCACGACGGCGTCAAAGTGGGCGGCATCGGGAGCGATGGCCGCGCCGAGCTCGCCCGTGACAATGTTGACGGTCGAGATGACGATGCGTTCCGGGTCGAAGCCGACATCGATGGCCGCCTGCCGGGCCTTGCGCGCCATGCTGAGCGCGACGTCGGTGAGCACGAGCTCAAAGGTAACGCCGAGCTCCCTCTCGACGTCCTTGGTGGCGGCGGCCACCAGGCGGCTTAGCTGGCCGGTGCCAGCGCCGATCTCGAGGATCCTGCATCGGTCTCGCCCGGACTGCTTGGCCAGGCTTCCGATGCGGCGGAGAACCTGCGGGATGGACTTGCCGATGTTTTCTGCGGCGGCCGTCTTGCGGTAGACGTCGGTGAGGATGTCGGGGCAGAAGAGGGCCTGGACCGCGGCCTTGCTGTCGCGATAGATGCTCGTCTGCCGCTTGCCCACGCGGTGGATGGCCTCGAAGAAGCAGGCGTACTCGTCGCGCTCCTGGGCCGTCAGCTCGTAGGTGCTGGGCTCGAGGGAGCGCGCGGCGACGTCCTTGGCCCAGTCATAGTAGCTGCGCTGCGCTGGCTGGACGGTCTCCGCGTCAAAGTCGCGCAGGCTGTTGCGGCAGTGCACGGCGGCGACCGAGTCGAGCGCCTTGAGAATGCCGTGGTGCAGGCGACTCTTGTGCGGCGGCAGGTAGAGCGGGTTGCCGTCGGCCGCTTCGCTTCCTGCGCGGGTCGCAGCGCGGGCGAGCACTGATGAAGGGGCCGGCATCGAAGAGGCAGCGTCCTGAGCGTCCGAGGTGACCGGGAGGACCTCGCTCTGCTTCACGACCTGGAACAGCGTCGACCTCTCGTCGGCGGCATCTGAGCCAGCAACCTCGATCTCGGCGGAGAAAACGCACTGGCTGGCCCTGTCCCAGGGTGCCAGCGCGACCATCAGCGACGAGTCCCCGCGAGTGATGTACAGCCGATGGGGCGCGTCGAGCGCGACGCTCGACAGCTTGGCCAGGCTGGATGCTGCGACGGACAGCGGAAGGTCGAAAGATGGATCAGCGACGCGAGCGATGTCCAGAATGTCGGATGGCGAGAGGCAGCTGGGCCCCTGCCCTTCGACCACGCCCTCCCACTCTGTCGGCGAACACTCGACAAGGTACTTGAGGCAGGTGGGAAGTGGCCCGCCGGTGACGAATCGGGTCCTGGTGTAGGTCGGTGCTGGCCAGGTCGAAAGTGTCGTAGCGGCCCTGATGCTGGCTTCGACCGTGGCGATCGGCGTCTGGGCGAGCTTGCTGTCGGTGGCGATCAACGACAGGCGGGCGAGAGTCGAAGGGCTGTTGGCGGAGAGTAGCGGGCAGAAGGCTAGGCAGTGGACAGCACTCGCCTCCTGTAGCTTGCCAACGCCGGCGCTCGAGCGAAGGACGTGCTCGATGCTGACGAGCTCGTTTAGCTGCGCGTCCACCGACTTGCAGGCCGAAAGCAAGGCCCCCTCGAGGCCATCGGCACTGCGCAAAATGCTCGCGATCGCCTCTTTGGGGATCTGTGCTTGCAGCATCACGCCGTCGTCGGTGCGCGAGAGCTGCGTCCAGACGAGCGCGAGCGCGCTAGGCCGAGAAGCCAGCGCAGCGCCGGCGCCTTGCTGCTCCGAAGCGTCCTCGCCGACTGCCGAGACGGATCGAGCCTTCGCAGGCAGGACGCTCTCGGCCGGCTGCATCTTGATACCTAGGCCAAGCTGATCTGCCGAGGCAGGCCTGTGACCCTCGTCGACCTTGCTCGACGGAAGATCTGGCCAGCATCGCTTCCGCTCGAAGAGGCAGAGCAGCGAGGGCGGAGCACTCGGGGCCTCGCGACGTCGAGAGTCGAGATCCGGGCGGGAGATGCGAAGGCCGGCGTGGAAGAGGAACTGAAGTGCGAGCAGGACAGGCTCAAAGTCTGTCGGACGACGGGCGAGGGCCAGACACCTGATGTTTGCCAGCTTGCGCGAGGCGAGACCGGTGAGCTGAGCCGAAGGACCAACCTCGATGACGAGGGCTGGACGGTGCTGCGTGTGCAGCCTCTCCAGTGCGCCGTCGTACATGACCGGTTCGAGCAGGTGTCGGTGCCAGTGCGGTCCATCGAGCGCCCCCGCCTGGGCTTCGTCGAATGCAGCTTCGGTCGAGACGAAAGCGGGAGTGGGTCCTGCCGGCGCTTGGCCTCCACTTGTCTTCGACGGCGCCCAGTCAAGCAGAGGCCCGGCGACACCTTCGAGGCTCTTTCTGTTGTGGTAGGCGGCGGAGACGAGCAGGCGGGTGCACTTGTAGCCGCGTCTGATGACCTCGTGCTCAAAGGCAGACACACCAGCCTCGGACCCGCTAAAGGTGAGGGAGTCCGGTCCGTTGTGGGCGGCCAGCCCGACGTTGAGCGCCGGGTCGAGCGTGGCCAGGACCTCGTCGGCCTGCTTGCGAGTGCACTTGACCGCGACCATTGCGCCGGCCGGAGCCTTGTCGCACAGGGAGCCGCGCAGACAGACGAGGTCGACGGCATCGTCGAGCGAGAGCCTCCCAGTGGTGGCGGCCGCAGCGATCTCGCCGATGCTATGGCCGATCGCGGCGACGGGCGGTCGACCGAGGTGGGACCGCAGCCAGGCCTCCATCGCGTACTGCAGGGCGAACAGGTACGGCTGGGCGACCGAGGGCCTTTGCAGGAGTTCCTTGTTGGATGCCAGTGGCGCGGCGTCGACGATCTCCTTGATGTCCAAGCCCGACTTGGCGAGGATGCGCTCGGCCGCTCGGTCGAACGCCTGGCGGAACGAGGTGCTGGTGTGGTACCAGTCCTGGCCCGAACCTGGCTCGAGCTTGCCCTGGCCAGAGAACTGGACTGCGTACGGCCGATCCTGTTGCTGCTGCTGCTGCGCCTTGGAGCTGCCCGGCGTGGGGAAGCAGTCCGACTGTGTCTTGGCGAGGCTGTCCTCGATCTGACGGACGGCTTCGTCCCTCGAGCGAGCGACGATGGCCTGGCCATGGGCATGCTGGTCCTGTCCGCGAGCTAGGATGACTTCGAGGTCCGCCAGCTTGCACTCGCCCTGCGACAGCAGACGAGCGGCCTCCCGCATCTGCTCGAAGAGCAGGTGGTGAGACGGCGCGGAGAACTGCAAGAGATGGGCGCGATCTGCAGCCTCGATGATGGCCTGCTCGGCGTCATTGAGTTCTGACGGTGCTCGGCTGACAACGATTGCGCCCAGGGTGCCTGCGAACCCGATGCCCGAGACGACGGCCTTGTGATTGCCAGTCGGGAGTGGGTTCGTCTGGTCGCATCGCATCAGTGCGGGGACCTGGTCCCAGCGCGACTGCTGTCGGATCGGACCCGCATGGTGGGGCGGTGCCTCGCCCCGACGCAGGCAGAGCAGAGCCTTGAGCGTGCTGACGATGCCGGCGCACTCTTCCGTGTGCCCGAAGACGGCCTTGGACGAGCCGACGACCAGAGGCCGCCCGCGAGGGCGACCCTTGAACGTCTCGATGATGGCGCTCGCCTCGATGCTGTCGCCGAGCGGGGTGCTGGTGCCGTGAGCCTCGAACAGGGCGACGTCGGCGGCCGAGATACCGGCCTTGGCCATCACGGCCTCGTACATCCTCCGCTGCGCCCGGGCGTTGGTGGTGGCCATGGTCGCGGTGCGGCCCTGGTGCGCGCTGGTGGCGGCGTCGATGCAGCCGTAGATGCGGTCCGACGAGACGGCGGCGTCGCCGAGCCTGCTGAGCAGGAGGAGCGCGCAGCCTTCGCTGGGCACGTAGCCGTCCGAGCTCTTGCCAAACGGCGTCGATGTGCCGGTGGGCGAAGACATGCCGGCCGACTCGAGGAAGCCCAGGGTGATGGCGCCGATGTGCGTCGTCACGCCGCCGACCAAGGCGTAGTCGCACTCGCCGTTCTGCAGCGCCGCGACGGCCAGGTCGATGCTGTTGAGGCCCGAGGAGCATGCCGTCTGGATGGTGATCGAAGGTCCCGTCCAGTCAAAGTGGTGGCTCAGCCGGCCGCAGAGGACCGACTGGTTGAGGCTGGCGCCGGCGTGCTTGTTGTGCTGGTCGACGCCCGCGTGGCGGATGACCTCGTCGTATCCATCGGCGTTCGAGCAGCCGATGAAGACGCCGACGCGGGCTCCGCGCAGGCTCTGCGGGGCAATCATGGCGTCCTGCAGCGTCTCGTAGGCCACCTCGAGCAGCAGGCGCTGCTGGGGCTTGGCGTGGAGCGCCTCGTCGTCCGACATGCCAAAGAAGGCGGGGTCAAAGTCCTCCATCCCGCGCTTGCCGATCCAGCCGCAGGGGTAGCGGGGCATGCGCTCGCCCTCGCTGCCGAGGTAGCTCCGTCGCTCGTCGCTGAGGCGAGAGAAGATGGGCTCGCCGCCAGTTCCGGCGTTGGCATGGAGCGCAGTCCAGAACTCGTCGACGCTGTTGACGTTGCCCGGAAGCCGAAGACCAGCGCCGACGACGGCGATGCGCTCGCTGGCGGGCTGGGCAATTGGAGAAGGTGCGATCGGCGCGACGTCGATCTCGCCATTGCCGGCCGCGTCCCCGGCATCGACCCTGGCGGCGACGTGCGATTTCCGGCTTGCGGCGATCGAGACCCGGATGGACTCACATAGCTCGCCAAAGGTCTCGGTGGTGAAGAGCAGAGAGGCTTCCAGCTTGACGTCGTAGCGCGCCTTGATCCGGCCAAAAAAGGCGACGGCGCGGCTCGAGTCGAGGCCGAGGCCGCTGAGGTCCAGAGCATCGTCGACATCCTCGGGCCCCAGCCCGAGCTGATCCTGCACCAGCGTCCGGGCCTCGGCAACGACGAGCCTGGAGACAGCATCTACGTCGCTGGGAGCGTCTCGCTCGCGCGCCCGCAGCTCCGCCTTGATCTTCTTGCGGAAGGTGGCATTCTTGGACGTGATAGGAAGGTGGTCGACCACCTTGACGCGGTGGGGCGAGATCCGGGCCGGCGCCGAGACGGTGGCGTTGACCTTGGCCACGGCGCGGGCGATGCAGCGTTGCTGGACCGAGCGAGGTAATGCCGCGCCCTCGACATCGAGCTCGACGTAGGCCACGAGAGCTCGACTCTGCCTTGCGGTGGCCTCCTGGTCGCCGCAGACAAAGGAGCGGGCGATGCCTTCGCAGGAGTCGAGCGCCTGTTCGAACAGGCCGGCGAGGACCTTGTCTCCGCTCTCGAGCTGGATCGTATCGTCGATGCGAGAGACAAAGGTGAACGAGGGGCAGCATGGATCCGCATCGCTGTCGGAGAACTCGACCAGGTCGCCCGTGCCGTATGCGCCCGTGTGTGGCTTGAAGGAGATGTCGCCGCGGCCATCGAGCAGGTAGTAGCCGCTGAAAATGTAGCTGCTGGCGTCGATGACGAGCTGCCCGACGTGACCGACGAAGCCGCTCGAGGCAAAGTCGCCGGCGTCAGGCCGGCCGGGGGTCGAGAGCACGTGGGTGAGCTGCATCGAGCGGAAGGCGGAGCCCGAGAGCCGGTCCGAGGTCGCGGGCCGGCCATACGCGGCGACACCGATCTCGGTCATGCCGTAGCAGGGGGCGATGGGGACCGACTCGGCCCGCGCCTGGTGGAAGAGACCGACGTCGATGTCGGCGCCCGCGACGGGGAGGATGTCGAGCCTGCGCAGGTGAGGCAGCAGGTCGGCCTCGCCCATCCACGCCTTGACGAGGCCGGGCGTCGCCGCGGCGGCTGTCGCCCGCGAAGCCGGCTGACGCAGGACGTGGGCGCACTCTTCGCCCAGCAGCCCACGCCTCTGGCCGAGCAGGTCGGGATGGCACGGTAACAGGTAGGTGCCTCCGGTTCCCAGCACGAATGCAAACAGCTCGATGTAGATGCTGCAAAGAGGGAAGCACGAGCAGGGTCAGCGCACTCTGGGTCGGCAAGCGGCCGCTTCATCAATGTGCCAGAGCTGCAAAACAGACTCACCCCATAGCATGGTTGAGCGAGGAGCATCCGAGGACGCGCGGCACGCGGTCAAAGGACACGAGGCCGAGGCTTCCCTCTGCCTGGAGGTAGAGGAACCTGTGCGTCAGCTCGACCGCTTTGACCGTCTCTCGCGAGATGGCCGACGACGTGAAGAGAACGAGTGCCGGAGAGTCCGGGTCGTCGTCGAGGTGGGAGAGGTCCAAGCCAGCGTCGGGCAGGCTCAAAGAGCGAGTTGAAGAAGTGGTAGCGCCTGCCAGCTCACCGAGGAGCGGGTCCCGATTCGGTGTCGCGTTCGACGCAGGCAGCAGCGGCTGGAAGAAGTCGGCAAAGGTGAGGAGCTGCGGACGATGCTGCGATCCCTGCAGTTCGGACGCCAGCGCGGCGGCTGCGCGGTCGTAGCACTGGGCTGTCTGGCTAGCGAGGACGAGGCTGGGTTGGGCCAGCTTGAGCATGGCCTCGAGGAGGGCGGGGGGCGTGGAGATCGAGACGGGGAGCACGGCGACCCTCCAGCCAGCGAGCCAGGCCGCGAACAGGCAGAGGATCTGCGACGGCTGGTTGTACGGCGAGACGAGGGCGAGCGTTGGCCTTGACGTGGGCCGGCCGTGCACAGTGGGAGTCTTGGTGTGCCCGGGGTCGAGGCTGCGGAGGCGATCTGCGATGCGTGCGACGAGGACGAGGGTATCTTGGTACGAGAGGGTGGCGTCGTGGGTGGTATCTAGGAGGAAGGCGGCGGCGGCTGCGGACGAGGCTTGCCCATAGTGGGATGAATGGGCGTGAGCGGCGGTTGGCCGGGGGAAAGTCCGCAGCGACTGGTTCCTGGCTGCCCGCAGCAGGAGCTTGACGGCGTTGGTCGGGGCTGTGGACGCCGCGGTTGCTTGCGTCATGGCGGCGGCGGTGGCGGCGGCGGCGGCGGTGGGTGTTGCTGCGATGCGAGTGCTTGTCTGGCTGGCTTGCGTTTCTGTCGTTGCTTGTAGGTTGTGCGAGTCCGGGTAGGTGTCCTTGGGTCGAGGCTGTTGCGCTTGGGTGATGGGCAGATGAGAAGGCGGGGGGCGCTTGCGAGAGAGGTCGAGGGTGTTGGTATAAGAGGCCGAGGAAGCGTGAGCGGGAGCGTGGTAGCGAAGCGGTGGTCAAAGCAGGGAGGATGGCTTGAGCGTCGCCGGGGACGGTGGTGAGGGCGGGGGCACACGAAGCAGAAGAGCAGGCTGGGCTAGGGGAGGGGGGAGTCGTGGTTGTCCGTCCGTGTGGCGAGCAAGGCCTCGTCGCGTGGGCCCTGGGGCAGGGCAGGGCAGGCCAGCGTGGTGTCGGACAAAGGCAACAGGCTCAAGCAGCCGGCATGGGCCCACATCCCGGCGACACCTCAGAGGGCCGAGGCACCACGAGGTTGGGGTTCGCAGGTCACGCTCGTACGTGTTGCCACGGTGCTGAATGAGCGTGCCATGACGGGCGGGGCAGACGCTGAGAGGCTAGGCTGAAGGGTGGGCAGGCAGGCAGGAGGCTCAGGGCTGAGGCCGACGTCGTGGTGCCATCCATCATATGGCCCGGTTACGGCACGGCACCGGCGGTGGCTGTCAGACTGGCGGCTCTCGACGGTGGCGACGGCACAGGGCGGAGTGTAGAATCGCTGGCTGGCTGATGGCCACGACCAACGGCCGCCTGGAGCTGAGCCGGTCGGGCCAGCGTGAGAGAGGCAAAGGAGCGAGCTGCATGGTGGTGTGTTTCTTTCGGCTAGACCGACGACACAGGCAGGCGGTCAGCGGTCGGTCAGTGGACGAGCACCGAGGCAGCAGCGATTAGGGCCAAGGCGGAGGCGGAGGAGGGCGGGAATGGGGACGGGGATGAGAAACGGGTCGAGAAGATGCGAGGGAGGCGAGAGCCGCCGAGAGTGGGCATCAAGGCGGCCTCGGGGAATAGGAGTCAGAGAGCCGGAGACTAGGCAGGCCAGGCAGCACTTCTGTAGCTGAGGCACACGTGTCGAAGCGTGGGCGTCGGCGGGGGGCGGGCAGGCATACCGGAAATGCCGTCGAGCATAGCAAAGTCGAGGTGAGGTGAGGGTGGCGACGCAAGAAGACCACAGGCTGGCTGGCTGGCTGGCTGGCGGTACGTGGTGGTGGTGACGACGACGAGGGCGAGGAGGTCATGGCCTCGGGTGAGCCGACAGGGAAGGATGACGGCGTGAAACCAGCGACGAGAGGCGGGCGGGCCAGCAGAAGGCAAGGCACGGCAGCAAGGCAGGCTGAGGAGCACGTACAACGCGCACTACGGGCTGGCCCGCCCGCCTGCCCCTCCGCGTAAATCCCCCGCCAGCCGAGCCAGATTAGACTTCTTCGGCAGAGGTGCATGCATATGCAGCCCAGCCCGCAGGCCGGCTGGCCGGGCTCGTTTTGGGGGAACCGGCGGGGCGGCGGCCGCCGCTTCGGTGCGCAGATTCAGGCTGCTGGCGGGCGGGCATCCCGACAGGCAGGCAAGGCAGGCAGGCAGCAGGATGGCGGAGCACGAGCCACCTGCTGCCTCGCTGCTCGTGCTCTTCGCCACCGAGCCCAATCCACCGAGTCCTAGGCAGGCTCCTTCAGCGCTCCGGCTAACCTGGCTTGAACTGAGCTCGACCCGCCAAGCTCGGAGCGAGGCGCCCGCCCATCTTGCTATCTCTCCGACCTCCTTGCTTGCTGGATGCCCATCCGCACGTCGACCACCAACGACTCCCTCCCCCTCTCACGCACCCCCACCTTGCTTGCTTCTTGCTTCTACACTCCGACCCATCTGTTTCCACGCATCGACCGCATCCCTCCGCACCCGCATTCGCACCCGCTTCCACGCCAAGAACAGCCATCGTCGGACCCCTTTGACCCGCTCAGGCCCTCGCAAGCACTTTCGCAAGCACTCTCGCACGCACACAACGCCCGCACGCACACAACGCCCGCCCACCCAGCATGACGACGACGCCGCTCGCCGTGCCGCCGCAGCAGACGGCCGACCGCTCCAACGTCTACATCCGCGCAGCCTTCAACTACATCGACGCTATCAACGAGGCCGTCTCGCTGCCGCAGCACAATCCCACGCGCCTCAGGTGAGTGGACGAGGGGTTCGCGGAAGAGCGTACGTGGTTCGATGACCTAACTGAGGGACCCTTCATCGTCTGGCCCCATTCGTCCTGGGCCCTCGACCATCCGTCGTACCGCCCTCCCGGCCGGCAGAGACTGCATGAGCGCCCACTCGGTCGTCGAAATGGCCCCGGCAAGCATGATCCCGGACGGAAAGGAGACTGCCCTCGCGACGGCAGAAGACCAGATCGGCTTCCTCGCCCAGATGCGCTCGCTCGTCAAGGAGTCCAATGTAGGTCGCGCACCTCTCCCTCCCCGTCGACTCGGCCCGCCGATGCCTGCTGTCTGACCTGCTCGCCTGCCTGACCCGCCCCTGTCCCCGGCCCTCGTCGTCGCGGCAGGTCCAGATCAACGACTACATCCTCGCGCCAGGCCCGCGCGTCGTGCTCCAGGCAAAGGGCAACGGCACCTCCCACAGCGGACAGGCCTACACAAACGACTACGTCTTCTTCCTCTCGTTTGTCGACGTCGACTCGGCAGCGCGGCACGACCTCACCGACTTCGAGCGCCAGGGCGGCGTCGAGGACCGCGCCGGCCTGCCCAAGGTCACCTTCACCCGCGAGTACGTCGATTCCGCCTTCCTCAAGGGATACATTGATCAGGAGACCAGGAACCTGCAGGGCAAGTAGAGGCGGGGCCCGGGTACGAAGGATAGTCTCATGAAGTCGGGGTTTAGTGATAGACTGCAATCGAGAAACCGGCGAAAGAGATCGCGTGTTGCCGTGCTTGAACAGCACATGGGCTGTGTGAGCCGTTCGTCGACCGGCCGTCGTGTGTGATCAGCGCCTCGTCGCGTCCGCGTCTGAGCGCTGCGCTACGGCAGAAACAACGATCGAGCAAGGCTCATCCGTCTTCGAACCGTAGCCGCAGCAGCTATGGCTCGCACCTATCGAGACCGACCATCGCAGGCAAAACGCTTCAAGGTGGTATCGATTAAGGGGCGACGAGCGTGTACATGTTTGTCTAAACAAGAACCCGGACGAATGAATGTAATGGCCTCGATGGACGGTACGACAACAAAGACCTCTCCTCTTCCTTTTCCCTCTGTGACTCTACTGCTGCTGCTGCTGCTGCTGATCCTTGACGACCTTCTGGCGCAGGATAACCACGCCATCTTCGGGTGCGCGGCCGGTGCGGCTCCTCGACTTGCTCCTTGGCGTCGTCGTCGTCGTCGTCTCGCTGCGGCTACCGTCTGGGGTGGCGGTGCGCCGCGCCGTCTCGGACGCAGGCGACGGACGGGGACGTGTGGCGCTGCTGGCGAGCGTGTTGCCCAGGTCGTAGAGGAACAGGCCGGATGCATCGGTAGACGTCACCGCCGGTGGGGGTTTGCGGATCGGCGCGGCGACGGAAGGCGGCGCTGTCGAGGTCGGCGGTGTTGCTGCCATGGAAGTCGGGGCGGGAGAGGGCGATGACGACGGCCGGTGCGGTTGCTGCTCCTCGCGCTCTTCTCCCGTCACCTCGGCATCCCTCCCGTCGCTACTGCTGCTGCTGCTGCTGCGGTCCAGGTGCGACAGTTCCGTCTTGCTGTTCGGCGAGCTCAGCGGCGACAGGTCGTGCCCCGGATCGAGCAGGCTGGACGGGTACGCGGATCCGTGCGCGCCGCGTCCCGCGACGGGCCTCTGGCTGAAGCCCTCGTCGTCGACGACATTGCCATCCTCGACCTGGAGCTGGGTGCGTGTCTGCTCAGCCTCCCTGGCCGAGCCGTTGCCGAGCCGGCTAAAGAGGCCGGCAGGCGCGAACCTGCGCGAAAACTGCTGCCACCTTGCAATCGACTCCTGCTGCTCCCACTGGTCTTGGTCGCGGGTGAGGAGGAGGGCTAGGTCGCGGAAGACGCGGCAGGCCATCATGGCGTTGAGCGCCATCGAGGGGATGGTCCACATGCCGCGGAAGTTGGCGGGAAGGTGCGAGGTGAGGACGACGAGCGTCACGACGTTGGAGAGCGTGGCGACGAGGTAGTACTGCATGCCGCCGCGCAGCAGGTTGCGCGTCACGGTGCTCGTCATGCGCGGCAGGCGCAGGCGCTGGATGGGCAGCGACAGGCGGCGCGTGCTGCTGAACCCGCCCTCGGAGACGGGCGTCGTGGCGCCCTTTTCCAGGTCGAAGCGCTCCTCGATGTCGCTCAGTTCGCGTCGCTGCGAGCCGTGCACCGCCCGCGCCATCTTGACCAACAGCACCGCCGTCGTGATGAAGACGGCCGTGTCGTTGATGACGGTCGCGACGTAGACGACGTCTCCCCAGGCTGCAACTGAGGCACTGTGGTGGGGCAAAAGGGGGGGCCAAATCGGGATCGAGTGTCAGCCGTCGAAATTGTGAACGACGTAGAGCCTGGCTGAAACAGCGGCCAAACGCGGGGGGCCACGCACATCATGCACGCCTGGGTCGGGTCGATCTGCTTGTGCTTGGACGCCCTGCCGACGGGGATCATGAGGCTGGCGACGGTGACAAAGAGGAGGAGGCTGCCAAAGATGTACTTGAGCCAGCGGCTGGTGCTGTTGAGGGCCGTGACGCGGCCGTAGAAGAGGGCGGCGGTGCCCGAAGCGCCGAAAAAGAGCGAGATCTCGGCCGTGACCTGGAGCTGGGCGCAGTGCGAGATGGCGAGGCACTGGAAGATCCAGCTGAAGAGGACGAAGCCAAAGGTGCCCCAGCGCGCGCAGAGGTAGGCGAGGGTGATGGGGCGGAAGGAGCGCTTGAAGACGATGCGGTAGTCCTGGCCGAGGGTGGTGAGGATGTCCCAGGCAAAGCATCCGAGCGTGGCCGTGTAGACGAGCTGCGAGACGAAAAACGCCTTGGCCAGGCCCGGGTCGAGGTAGGCGTAGGGGAAGTTGTACGACTGCAGCGGCACGCCATGGAACGTGACGGTGCCGTTGACCAGCTGCGGTCCGGCTGTCGGGTCGGTCATGTTGCTCGAGGGTCGTCCGTCGATATTGTTGCTAGGCGCGAGGAGCTTTTCGAAGGCGGTTTGCGACGAGGTCTTGACGGCGTGGTGCGACGGGCGGGCGGTGATATCCTGATGGTTGCGATGATGATGTGGACGAGAAGGTAGCGGTGGTCGAAGGGATGGGTACGAGCAACTGATGGCGAGCAGAGGAAGCTGGTCAAGAGCGGTGGGCAGCGTTGCTAGAACGTGCCCGCTAGACGTCGAGCACGTCGACCTTGGCTTGACATAAAGCAGAGCGGCGCTGAAAGGTCAAAGCGCAGGCCCCACGGAGGAAGAACCCTATCGATAGCACCACCCAGCCGGCCGGGGACGTGCGGGGAGGGGGCCACGGCACGGCAAGAATGGCAGAGTGACGCCCTCTCCCGCCAGCAAATCAAGGTGGCTCGTTCGCTGCATAGTAGAGACGATATGCGGGCCAAGCACCAAGCGAGGCGACCCAGAGCGGCGGCACCCGACGCGCTCATGCCATGGCGGGCAGACGGCCGGGCAGGACGATGCGATATGTTTGGCGGAAAGCGGAAGCACCGGCTTGGCACCCAGGGACATGCAGCCTGAGCTGGACACACACGCGGCCCATGCCGAAACGCTAGCGTGGGTACGGTGTCGAGGGGCATGCACACGTACGGGGCTCATGCCGTCCGACCGTGGAATACGCCGAAGAGGGCTGACTTGCGAAAGTTTGCTTGCTTGCTTGCTTGCTTGCTTGCTTCTCACAGTAATTAATTTGACATAAGCGCACGGTCGCAGGCTAGAAAGAGTTGGCAAGTAGGCTGAGCATCTTCTGGCTTGGGACGGCTATTCGCGGCTCCATGATATCTTCTCGGAGCGAGCCCAGGATGCGGTCGGCTCGTGCCGACGAAGCGGAGAAAAGGAGACAAGCAAGTCGTCGTCGTCGTCGTCGTCGTGGAACGAGATGCATCCAAGCGAGTGGCGGGCCAGGGCAAAGCAGGGCAGGGCAGGGCAGGGCAGGGCAGGGCAGGGCAGGGCAGGACCAGAGACAGGCAGCCAGGCCGAGGTGAAACCTTGATCTGCACCCACGGCGTCTCGACAGATAGAGGGCGGGGGGGCGGCCGAGGCGGGGGCGAAGCAAGGCAGAACGACGGCGAGAAGGAGGAGCGGGGCCCGAAGTGCGTGCGCACGCTGCTGCTGCTGCAGCTGCTGCTGCTGCTGGGCGTCATCACCGCCCGCCCGGGGGCTTTTGCCGCCTGCAAAAATCTCCGCCGGCTTCGGGAGGCCCGCCTGGTTCTGCCGCCGCTTGGGCTGCTGGGGCCGCGGGCACGTTGGCAGCTTCGACGTGGCCTGTTCGCTCGGTTCGTCGATGGCCCGCTCGGGCTCTTCTTCGCCTCCCTTTCATGCGACTCGTCAGCGCATGGAACCCAACCTGCGGTCCCGAGCCGAGATGGGCAAGATGCTATGCGAGATTCATGCATGCAAACACGAGCTAGTCCTGCTGCACGCACGTCTGCTCTAAATTGAGGAACGCGCCAACCCACGGCAACCACAAGCAGGCCAGGCAAGCAAGCAGGCAGGGTAGGCTAGGTTTGGTCAGTCTCCAAGCGGGCTAGGCTGCCTGCCTGTGAGACGCGCGGGCCACGACGACGACGAAACGGCAAAGTTGCGCACGGCAGGCCCGGCCAGGCTGTTGGTGCGCGCACTCTTGCTTGCTTGCTTGCTTCTTCCTGGTCGCTCGCCACGTCGACCAGTCAACGGCAGGACCAAGACCGAGCCTGGGGGCCGACCCACGGGCATACGGTTGCGTTTAAGCTCGAGAGTCATGCGCTCGATATCCCGGTACGGTCCTGCCGATGAGGTAGACCTACCTGCCTGAGCAAGAGGGCGAGCACGCAAGCAGCGGCGATGGCTGCTCGTGGACCGTGCGAGGGCCACTAGATACATTTCAGTCGGACGACGAGGCGGGGCCCTCGCACGGTAGCCTGTCTGTGGTCGACGCCGTGGACTGCCAGATCCCATCATCCCTCCGTGAGTCCCGTCAATGGTGGCATGCTGGCGAAGCTGTCCTAGGCTGACCACCTACTTAACCACCAACGGCGCAATTATTCAAGTGGCAGGCCAGCATACCGCTTCCACTCCATCGGGACGCATTCCAAAGCACTCGCAACGTAAAGCGCGACGCAGCAGCGACTGTCCCCGGCCCATCGATATGCCACCGCAGACAAACTCCAACACCGCCGCCGGCGACGCCGAGTTTCGTACTCTGCGCCTGCAAGATGCACACACGGACATGGCCAGCACGCCTGCCAGCGTCGGCGGCAGCCTTCGGACCACCTCGGTGGACAAGGGGGCAACCACCTGGCCCTCGTCGCCCGCGCCGTCGATCCACGAGGAGCCTCAAGCTCGGAACGAGGGCTACGACGAGAAGAACCACGGCAGCGACGACGACGACGTCGAAAAGGGCCGACCTCGGCCCTCGGGCGCTGCAGCCGCGCCAGGCTCGACGGCGGCAGCAGCAGCAGCGACGACGCCACCGCCGCCGCCAAACTTTCCCGAGGGCGGGCGTGCGGCGTGGTGCACCGTGGTCGGAGCGTGCTGCTCCGTCATGGTCAGCTTCGGGCTGATCACGTCGTACGGCGTCTTCCAGTCGCACTACGTCTCGGTCCTGGACCGGTCCAACTCGGACATCAGCTGGATCGGCTCGCTCCAGACCGGCTTCTTCTACCTGGTCGGCGCCGTCGTCGGCCGGCTGTACGACGCCCTCGGACCCAAGCGCCTCACGCTGGCGGGTACGCTGCTCCTCTGCTTCGGCCTGATGATGACCAGCCTGGCGACGCGCTACTACCAGCTGCTGCTGTCGCAGGGCATCGCCGTCGGCCTCGGCGCCGCGCTCCTCTTCTACCCGGCGCTGCTGAGCGTGCCCTCGTACTTTCTCCGGCTACGCGGCCTGGCCGTCGGCATCGTCGTAGCCGGTGCGGCGCTGGGCGGAGTCATCTGGCCCATCGCGCTGCAGCGCATGTTCCTCGACCCCTCGCTCGGCTTCGGCTGGACGGTGCGCATCCTGGGCTTCATCGTCCTCGCCCTCGGCCTCGTCGCCACGGCGCTCGTCACGACCCGGGCGCCGCCGCGCAAGCACGGCGCCTTTCTCGAGCGCCAGGCGTGGTCCGACGTGCGCTACACGGCCACCGTGGTCGGGGCGGCCTTCTCGACGCTGGGCTTCTTTGTGCCCTACTTTTACATCGAGTCGTTTGCCATCATGAAGGGCGTCTCGACAGACGTGGCCTTCTACAGCGTCACGGCGCTCAACGGCGGCTCGCTGCTGGGCCGGCTGTTTTCGGCGGGGCTGTGCGACAGGTTCGGCAAGTTCAACACGCTGCTCGCCTCGTCGCTCGCCTCGACGCTCCTCTGCCTCGCCTTCTGGCTGCCCCTCGGCGCCACGTCCGGTCTGAACGCCAGCCAGGCGGTGGCGACGACGATGAGCTTCGCCGTCCTGTTTGGCTTTGGCAACGGCGCCTTTTTCTCGGCCTCGCTGCCGGCCCTGGCCAGCTTTACGCCCCTCACCCACCTCGGTCTCCGCGCAGGCATGCTCTATACCGTCCTGACCATTCCGTGAGTTTCCTGCCGTCCCTGCCGTTCCTGCCGCTGCGCCGTGTGGCGTTCGTCCCGTGGGAACGCCAAGCATGACGACGACGACGACGCCAATGACGACCCCGTCAACGTGGCTGGCAAACCTTATTGACCATACCATGCCTTCTCCCTTCCACCCTCTTCCTCGAACCACCCCGCCTCGCCACTGCTCTGCGCCCACGGCACGCGCGACGCAACGACGACAGTGCGCTCGTCGGAACGCCCATCTCCGGCGCGTTCCTGTCCGAGGTGGACGACGCCCACTTTGTCAACCTCATCATCTGGTCGAGCCTGACGCAGCTCGTCGGCTTCCTGGCGTTTGCCGTGGCGCGGTACCGCATCAGCCCGAGACTGTGGCACGCCGTCTAGCGTGCAGTACGTAGCGCAGATGGATGCGGAATCCTAGATCAGTCGTGTTCGGCATGGTGGCCTGCAAAGGCGGACCGGTTCCGACTGGATCAGCTGCGTGTGCTGTCGCTCGACCGGCCTGCTTGCTGCCTTATCGATCGGTTCGGTCGGTACCGGCAAAGCGGACGGGTCGGTCCCGAAGGCAGGTTGGTCCGCTTCCATCGGAAAGGATCCGAAGCCCCCCCTGACATGGTCGATCGCTCCATGACGGTGTGGCGGTCACGACCTCTGTTCCTCGAGCCGAAGAGGGCCAAGCAAGGGCGAATGACGATGTACGGGCCTAGAGTAGGTCCAGCGTCGGTCGGTGGCCGGTGCAGAGGCATGGAAGCGACGCACGCACGCCCGCACGCCCGCCGGCCTTTCCGAGCCACGGCCCGAACGGTGCGCCGCCTTGCCGTGCAGTGCCGTGCAGTGCCGCCGAGCAGCCCGACGCCTGGCATGGGCATGAAAACGAACAGCCTCTCTCATGAGAGAGAGAGAGAGAGAGAGAGATAGAGAGTCGAGGGTGGACGTTCTTGACCTGCCTGGCTTGCTGTATCGTACGCGCCGCACTCTGACCGTTCAAGGTTTCTGTCAAGGCTCTAAGGCAACCGGCGGCAGCAGCGTGGTCGAGGTGCAGCATTTGTCAAACCGGTACCTACCGTACACAAGAAGGTGCGCTTACAGTACCTGTTGCTCTCCTCGGTCGTCGTCGTACGGGTCGAGAGGTGACCGCAAGACGGTGGGTCGGACATTTCCTCGGGCCGATATCGTTGATCTGGTCGTGCTTTTAGGCTAGGAACAGATGACGAACAAAGGCGGCTTGGAAGCCTAGCCGCGGCTAGCGAGGCTAGGACTGCTGCTTATTGAATGAAAGTCTTCCTCGGTCTTTTGTTCCTCGGAGCGGATGAGAGTCCTTGGATGATTATATTGAAGGGATCAGGGGGCATGCCGAGACAGAAGAGGTGGTACTCTTGACTGTATGAGGCCAACTCTGTCCACGGCGTCTACCGGCCGACCTGCTGTCATCTGCGTGAAATAGCGGGGACGGGAACGGGCGGCGCGGGGTCGAAGCGGCGTGGGTAGGGTCGCTCGCTCGTCACCGTGCCGTGCATTCGCCTTTCACACAGCCGGCGAGGCGGTCATGTTGGTCGCTCCTCTTTTGTCCGCGGCGTCCTTGGAATTGATGGATGGATGGACGGATGTACCCATGACGAGCGCAGCGGACTGAATCCAATCTAAAATGCAAACCGCAGTGTGGATGCATGGACGGCACACTAGTGCGGGAACGACACGTGTCCCGCGCAGCGTCGAGACACGTACAGCCGCTCGGCCTGGTCTGGCCCGGCCAGGCCGTCATTGGTCGTCGTGGCGTTTTCTAGAGGGCAAAGCACTGCATGTACGGTAGTGTAGCGAGGCGGGACGCCATGGAAGGCAAGCAGGCTAGGGCATGGAACAGTGGCTTGGACGGTATGTGCATGCTCAAAGGGGGACCGTGCAGGCAGGCAGGCAGGCAGGCAGGCAAAGCCACAGCCGGCGGTTGCTCGTCGGCACAACGAAGCTGGAAGAGAAAACGTGCGTGCGTGCGCAGAGCGGTGCAGCGCGGTGCGTGTGTGGTTCCGAGCGAGATTCGGCGGAACGAGGCGGAGGCGGAGGCGGAGGATTATCAGCGACGGGATGCACGCACCCGCGGAGGGTTGTCTCCCGAGCGAGCGAGCGAACAAGCAAAGCAGCTCGGTATCGCGGGACAAGGGCAGGGCAGGGCAGGGCAGGGCAGGGCGGGGACGATACAGGTAGAGGCCCTGGTAGGCCGGAGAGGCAGCGCAGAAGGCCGTGCCGGTCCCGCGGGTCGGGAGTGAGGGAGGACATACCTGGGTGGGTGGCTTCAGAAAGGCAGGCAGGCAGGCAGGCTCGAGAAACGGGCACGAGGGGCAAGCGGGGGCCTGCTTCGATTTTCCACGCCGCCCAAGTCGCCGGCAGGTCGGAGATGGAAAATCCACACAGACGGACGACGGGACGGCGGGTCGGCCGGGCGGGGGGGGGGGGCGAGATTTGGCATGACGAGCAGGCAGGCAGGCAGGCAACGACACGAACCCGCAAGCAAGCAAGTTGCTGCTGCTGCGAGGCCGACGGTTGCGCCGCAGCCAGCAGCCAAGCCAAGCAGGCCAGGTGTCTATCCATCTGCTCGTTTGGTTCTCCGACGACTTTGTTTTTCGAGCCCCGCCACTTTGCCCTGCCTTGCATGGAAGCACACGCTCGCATTGTTGCGAGCGCGTCTTCGCTCGTCGGCCGAGGTGCAACCGCAGATACGGTGCGGTACGGTACGGAGCGGCCGGACCAGGCCGGGCCAGGGCGACATCTGAAAAGGGCGGCTCGTCTTCGGAGCTTTCGGAGGATGGGATGCGACCCGAGCCGGGTAGGAAGGGGAAAGGGGGGCAAAAGAAACAAAGAAAAGCCTCCGTCGTCGTTCCGGCTCGGTGGGGAGAGGTGCCTGGCTGGGGGAGATAGAGTACGATATGCGAGCATACGGTAGGGGGTGCATCATGTCGGTCCCCTCACGCGTCTTTCCTTGTCGATTATGGGCGGCAGCGTCTCGACTGGATCCTCGTGTGCCGTGCCCGTACACTGCCTGAGTGACTGGAGATACCGTAGCATCGCACGCACCCAAGCACGCATGCAAGCACGCACGCAAGCACGCACGCACGCACGCACCCAAGCCAGCGGGTCAGCGCGCTGGTGCCCGTCATCGTACCGTACCCTGTCGCACCGTACGCGTGTGTGCTGGACCAACGTACAGTACAGTACGTACGTCTCTCTTTGACTTCGCTTCGGCGAGGCGACAAACACTCGCTACTGCTGTACAGACAGTAGCTCAGGTACGGAGTTGTACGATTCTACATGGGATCGTCGTGGACGCTACTACTGTACGCTACAGCACCTAGCCTAGCCTGGCTGTAGCTTCGGCCTGAGCTTGTCCGCACATTACAGCAGCAACCAGAGTTGTTTGTCCGTCCACCCGGTCTGCGCGGGCAGAGGCTAGGCCAGGCGGGACAAGGTTTAGCGTCGGTGTCTTGGCGATCGACTCTGACGCCTTACTTTGCTTGCTTGCTTGCTTGCTTGCTTGGCTCGCTCGACCAGGCTAACGAAACCTAGCTGGGTCGATCGGACGTCGACGCCACACACGCCGAGAGGACACGGATCGGGAGGTTGACCCGCCACCCTCCGTGACCGACTTGGCGTCCGGAACCATGGTCGGACCGCGTGAATCGCGGGGATGGGTCACGTACAGCGTCCGTCGGGTCAGCTCTTTCCACAGCTACTTCCCACGTCGATGCGGATAGGTACGTACGTGCCGGTGAGCGATCGTGCCGTGCGACGTTGACGACCGGGCGCAGGATGAGAGAAGAACGCGGCAAGCAAACGCGGTGGCACGTTCGTTCGTTCGTTCGTTCGTCCTTCCGTCCGTGTCACAAGGCAGAGCGATAGAGAGCCAGGACGATCGATACGAGATCCGTATGGTACTGTATCGGCATGGCTGTCAAGCTCGGACGGGCTGATCCCGAAGCACGGCGGCCAGGGCAGCTGGATAGCTGCGGCAGATAGGCACAACCGCGCCCGGTCTAGCTCGAGAGGTTGCGCACGCCTGGTACGAGCACGGGTACGGGTACGGGTACGGGTACGGGTTGGGGGGTTACGGGTAACGGTATCGATGGGATTGGAATTGATGCCCGTGGCCAAGGCAGCGGTACCGACGTCCAAAGCCCTGCCGCTGCTGCTCGGGATGGACGCGGGGTAGCTCACAGCGAGGAGGGACGAGGCCAGGCCAGGGCGAGGCGAGGCACAGGCGGGCGTGGTGGCAGGTCTCTGAGGCCGTGGACCCAGGGCTCGGAGCGAGGCCAGGCGTTTGAGTGGATGGACCGCGTGCTGGGGTTCGAGCAACGCACGAATCGTCGTTTGCTCGAATTGTATTGGACGATGACGACGAGCGCATGCTATGGTGTGTGGCGGGGGCCACGAAGAGGGGAGGGGGGGTCGATTAAGGTTGCAGGACACTCGAGCTTCCCAGGGGACGCAGCAATCACGCACGCAGAGGCAGGCAGGTCGAATCTGCATCGCAGACGAAACCACGCGGGCCTTTAGGTAGATGTACGGTCATGCTCTGCCTTGTCCCCGAGCAAAGGGGGCTACGGGGTAGCGTCACCGTGGAAGCAGATGGCGAGGGCGAGGGAAAGGCAGACGGAGAGGGTGGGAGAGAGAGGAACGTGCTTTTGCCGGCAGGGCCAGGCCAGGCTGACTGGCAAAGCAACGTACTCAGTTCAAGAGGCCGGCCGTGCCGAAGGCCCCGGCCTGCTCGGTTGTGCCGAACAGCCACCGAGTGCCGAGAGAGCGGACCAGCCGCGTACGGCTGCCGGCCTGCCTGCCTGGCTCGCCGCACATGCGCGTCTGTGCGTCGCGAGGTTCCCGTTTATGTATGCTGGCTCGCCCTAGCGTCGAGCCGGCGTTCCATGAGCGCTGCTCGCTGCAGACGGGTCGAGCTAAATTGAGTCGAAAAATAGCAACGAAAATCCGACAGCGGCCACGCACACCAACGTACGTGCGCATGCTCCTTGGGGCTCTGCTGCCCTTTTTCCGGGCGCCGACCGAGGGTAGCCCGCCTGCGCGACGGCGACGACGACGACGACGACAACGACGACGAGCAGCCTGCCTGACTACCTGTATGGCTGCCTGCATGGCCACTCATCTGGCATCGTACGCCTTCGGCTGGCTGCCATAAGGGCATGCTATGGCTGGGGGCGTCTTCCGCTGCCCGAGCGTACAGCTTCGGAGCCGCCGCCGAGGCGGGGCAAGCGGTGGCGAGCATGGTCGGATTCCGACTGAACCACACCTATCCCATCGATCTGCCTTAATGGCTTGCAATGAGCTTGGAAGCTCTCGAATCGATCCGTTACGGCTCGACTCAAGGTTCTACGGCGATCAGGAGCGAGGAAACGCTGAGCAGAACGTGCAGTCGAGCGTGCGTGCGCGCTGCCTGCGTGCTGCGCCTACGTAAAAGGATGCCGCGGTGCCGGCGGGTGGCGGGCGTACCACGCCGTTCGGGACACGGCCCTGGCTGGCCCATTTTGTTGCAGCTGCTGCCAGCCGGCCGTCGCTGGCAAGCCCCGCACCTGGGCGATGGATTCCCACGAGGCGACCAGGCAGCGACCGACGACGGCGACAAGGATGACCGGCCCGGCGGGTGGTCATGGAACGCTACGTACGAGGGCCCGGATGGCGGTCAACAGATGGAGCCGTGGCAGGCCCGCGCTGCACGTTGTAGACCGGTATGTACTAGGGCCCACCGCTCGACCGCTCAGTTCGTATGATCGCGTCCTCGTGGTTTCGTCGACGAAGCGTGAGGTCGCTGGGAAGGCTACAGCAGGGAACCCTGCCGGTGGTGGCTAGTTAGAGCGCGGGATGGCGGGGGGCCAGGCCGATGTTTGCGATGCGGAGGACGGGTTCGAGGTCGTTGGATGGGAGCGAGCGAAGCGCTGCGACCCAAATCTCGCCCATCGATCCGGGCGGCCTGCCTGCCTGCCTGCTGGTGGTGTGTTCTTCGGCTCAACCACCGGCCCCGCGCTTTGGACGGTGCCGTCGTAGGCCGCAGGCCAGTCTCCGCCCCGACGTTGCGTCTGCATGCCATGCATACCATGCATGCCCTGTCATGCGCTGCAGATGGGCATCAAGGCAGGGCGGCAGAGGCAGAGGCAGAGGCAGACACCCAGCCCTGCTGGCCTGACTGCCTGGCTGGCTGGCTGGCCGTACCCACGATGAGCCGCTTCGACGTGCGCCCCTTCCGAGACAGGCCAGGCCAGGCCAGCCGGGACGGGCCAGCCAACCAAGGGCCGGCAGGTGACCGAAGAAATAGCAAGCAAGCAAGCAAGCAGCCAAGCTCTGGGTTTCGGCGAGCTTACCAGCTGCGCAGCTGGTAGCTTGCCCCAGGCCTCCGCGGCGTCCGAGCAGAGGGGGGCCCAGGTGGACCCTGGCTGGGCCTTTCGGTGTCCCCGCTCGCTCCGAAGCAAGCTGCAGCTGCTGGTGGTGGTGGTGGTGGTCACCGAGGCGGCGGCAAGGGCCCAACCGGCGGCGCTGTTGAACGTGTTGCCGTGTGCGCTAGGCTGCTGGCCCCGCTAGCCTGGCTTGGCTGGCTTGGTCTATCTGGGACCTGGCCTAGCAAGCAAGGTGCGCTAGCCTACTGCACCACGCCACGCCACGCTACGCTACGCCTGGCCGCGGCTGCCGTCCTCTCTCTCTCTCTCTCCCTCTCCCTCTCTCTCTCCCTCTGCGGCCCTAGTCATGCTCCCTTGGTCTTGGCGAGACGGGCTATAAGACGGTCAGACCTTCCTCATTGGCCCCAACGCATCGTCCACGCCGCTCTCGGACACCACCATCCTGCCTCCCCTTCGCCGTTAAGCAAGCATCGCAACCCCACCTCCTCCTCCCTCTGCCCCTCCCCTCTCCGACATCTATGGACTCGACCATCAACATCGCCGCAATCACCATCACCACAGCCATCGCCACCGCCACCGCCTTGCCCAGCGCCGGCGTCAGCCCTACCCCTGCCAGCCCTCGCGACACCACGACATGACCTCATCCTACCTCCCCGCCCGTGGCGGCTTGCTGGCCGACATGATCAACGAGTACCCCGCACTCCAGGACGACGGCGGGCATGCTCCACGATCAACGGCCCCGACCTCATACCCCTCGCTCCCCGCCTACGCGCAGCAGCAGCAGCAGCAGCATCCACTGTCGCTCGCCATGCACACGCCCCCTCAAGCACAGGCACATGGCAACCCGCTCGGCTACCCTCCCTCGACGTCGGCATCGACCTCATCCCTCGGCCTCCTCGCTGCGCCAAAGCTCGAGCCCATCGGCGAGGACGATGCAAGCGTGCCCTTCTTCTACTGCAACATGCTCCAGGCCGGCCTCAACACCAACGCCAACCTGGACCCGGCACATGGCATCCCCTTTGCACACGAAGGACCGCGGTCCACCATGACAGCCTCGTCGTCGAGCCTCGGCGACGGCTTCGATGCCTGGTCCGCCTTCAGCGGCGACTCTCGCCCGCAGACGACCAGCTTCACCGCGGCGTCCAACGCCTCGGACTTCGGCACAAGCCTCGAGAGCTTCTCCTTTGTCCCTTCGCCTCAGCGCTCACCAACTCACGGCGAAATGGCATCCGACCCGCTCTGGGATGGCCCGGCCGGCTTCACCCCCTCCGCCCATGGCCCGCTCGACCCAATGCCACGCTCCTTCACCACAGCCGATGCAACGTCGTCGCGCCCCTTTACGGCGCAGAGCACCGCATTTCCGTGCGCGCCACCGCCGACATCCTGGGGCCTCGATCCGATCCCCGACATGTCTCTCGGCGCCATGACGCTGCAGGACGGTCAGCCTTCGCCCAGGCCATCTGAGCCTTCCACGGCGGCGGCGGCCACAAGCCACGGCCCTGCACAGACCCACGGTTGGTCCACGGGAGACAGCCTCGCCACCTGGCTCAACCACGACGTCCTCTCCGACCTGCTGGACGAGATCAAGGGCGAACATCCGGGCCCCATCTCCGAGGAGGTCAAGCAGGACCACGACGGGCGTCCCGTGGCCGTGACGGACCGCGTCAGCCTCTACCGCCGCCGCCGCAACGCCATCGCCCAGCTGCCCCTGGTCGTCTCGTGCGGCGTCCTTTCGGCCATGGTCTCCAACGAGCCAGAGAGCGGCTCAGACATTGCTCAGTCGTCGTCGCCCTCGTCTTCTTCCGACGAGGATGGCGACGAGATGGACGACCAAGACAGCAGCGGCGTCCTCTCGCCGCTCAGCTGCCCCCTCTCGCCCACCGCCTGTCCGCTCTCGCCCAAGTCGAGCCGGCCACGCAACAAGGTGGCGCGCTCGGCATCGTGCTCCTCGATGGCCGAGCTGCCCGAGATGCACCGCACACTCTCGTCGTGGAACTTTGCGTGCCGCAGCACGGGCCGGTACCGGAGCAGCAGCAGTGCCGCCGCCTCCAAGTCGAACAAGCGCGACAAGCAGGACGCCGTGCGCGACGCGGCCGCCAAGGCGAGCAAGGCCTCCGCTGCCAAGCGTCGAGGCCGCCGCCCGCGCAGCCAGAGCCAGGCCACCGAAGCGATGGACATCGACCCGGCCGAGTCAGACTCCGAGGCCGAGCTCGCCTCGCCCAAGAAGACGGCCGACGCCTGCGCCAAGACGATCGCGGCCAGCAGCCAGCCGGGCAAGGCGGCGGGCAAGCCGAAGCGCAGCTCGGCCAAGTCGGCCAACGGCAAGAGCTTCTCGATCATGAGCCGGATCGTGCTGCGGCCGCGGCCGGGCACCGAGGATGAGGAGGTGGCCTACCCGTGCCTGCCCGACACGCTCGAGGAGGCCAAGCGCAACAATGGGCCGAGCAGCGACATGACCCAGGGCGAGGAGCCGACCGACGAGAGCCAGAGCCTCTTCCCCTCGGATCTCTACGCGCCCCGCCTCACGCGCCGCGGGCCCAACGGCCGCGAGGGCTGGTGCTCGCTCTGCACCGAGGGCGAGTGGTACTCGATGAAGCGCAGCCAGTACCTCTACCACATCCAGTACGACCACGGCGTGAGCAGCCTGACGCGCAAGGTGTTCCACGCGCCGACGCACATCCGCGTGTGGAACGACGCCGTGGAAAAGACCGAGGGGCTGTGCCATCACTGCCAGCAGTGGATCCCCATCTGCTTTGGGCCGGTGCGCAAGCGCGACTTTAAGGCGTGGTTCAAGCACGCCCACAAGTGCCACCGCGACAAGACCGGCTGCCCCATCTAGGCAGCGCCCACGGCCCTATCGTTTTCCCCTTCCGCCTGCGCAGATCTCATTTACCGCGCCTCTGATGTTCGCTGGTCGAGCCCCCCTTGCTCCCCGTACGTCCCGCTTTTGCATCGCAACCTCGTCGCCCTCTCCTCCTTGCTTCCCATGCCGCCGTCCTTTTGATACCATGCAAACTAGAAATTGACTAGAAGGCTCGATAGACTATTACCAGCGGTGATCCCCGCATTGATTCCCAGGCCGCCGTACCTGTCTAATTGGAGAAGAATTCAGTCGCGCCACCGTCCAGAGCGTCTTCGTTTGTGCGTGCCGTCGTCGAGCCGAGCCGAGTCGAGTCGAGTCAAGCGCCTGAGGTTCAGACCGGGACGGAACCTCTTGGAAGGGCAGACGCGGAGCCGAGGAAAGGGAAGGAGCCGGTCCGGGCGAGAGATGAGGCGAGACGAGGGACGTTGCTATGCGAATGCGAGGGTTGGAGGCGTTTGTTTGTATCGCCCTCCGCGGGGATGGGTAGGCGAGTCGAGCTTGGAGCCAGGGCAGGGGCCAATCTAGCGATGCGCGCGGGTGGCAAGGGGGGAAAAAGGTGCTATGCGTCGCGAACGGGCGGAAGTCGACGAGCACGGCTCGACTCAACGCGGCTCGGCTCGGCTGCGGCGATAGAGCCTCGTGCGCCTGACCCGCCTCGTGGGCAGACACCGGCCAGCATCAGGAGGCCAGGGTAGGTAACTAGGTCGATCGTCTCGAACCGGAGACGAGCAGGAGGCTTCTCTCGGCTCGGACTTGTCGAGACGCGATGGAGGCGTGCCACGAGAGGTGGGCACCAGCTCGCCCGCGCCGTTCGCGTCTCACAGGCTCGAAGCTGCTCGCAGAGGTGCTGTAATCCATCGTGCTAGAATCCATCCCGATTCGCTACTCTGTACATCGCAAGGCCCATGTGGGCCCGCCCGACGATAGTTATGATTCATCCCTTGACCTCATCCCGTCCCTCACCCTCCTGCTGCTGCTGCTGCTCCCGAAAGGCCTTGACCTGCTGCTCAAACTCGGCCACCGTGACCTTCCACTCTCTATACTCGAGACCGAGCACGTCGTGAACGAGGGACGTGTCGATCTCTAAGCCGCCAGTGGAATCGGAGGCGGGGGTGGGATGGGCGCACATGAGCAACCTCCTTCCAGCCGCCTGCTCCCGCTGCAGGGCGAGAAGATGGGCGTCGGCGACGTCGCGGACATCGACCCAGCCGGGGATGCGCGAGCGCGCCGGATCGCGGAGGAAGCGTACGAGCTCGAGGTTGGAGCTCCTTAGCGGCGAGCCGCACACGGTGGGGCCGGCGATGTAGACGGGCGCTACCGTCGTCATACCCACCCCCGTGCTGCGGGAGAGGGACCAGGCGAGCCGCTCGACGACCGTCTTGGAACCCATGTACACTTCGAATGGCTTGCGAAGCGTGCGCAGCCTCGTCTCGTCCATGTCGTTCCAGCTCGTTTCGTCGATCGTCGTCGTCGTAGTCGTTGCTGTACCGTCACTGCCGCCGGGTGTTGGGAGGTGGCTGGATAGGCTTGTGGTCAGCACCACCCGACGCATGTGCAGCGACGAGGCGACGTCGAAAATGGTCCGGATGGCGCCGAGCGTCGGGTCGAGGATGGTCGCGACCGCATCGGCCATATCGCGCGACGGGACGGGCGAGGCGGTGTGAAGCACATACTGCGCTCCTGTTTCAACCCGCCCGTAGCAGCCGCAGCCGCAGCCGCAGCCGCAGCAGCAGCAGCAAGCGAGTCCGAATGTCAGCCCAGTCGTTGCGGAACGGACATCGGTGACCGTATCGAGTATCGAAGGGTCGCGACTCTCGCCGAGGGCCGGAACTCACCTTCACACGCGCCGCGTACGGCCTCTCGGTCCGCGAGGTCCGGCACCTCGAAAACCTTGAGGGAGCCCTCGCTCACCTCGCTCTCGAAGCGCCGTAGGAGGCCAGAGGCGGAAGAGCGGCTCCGCACCGTAGCGTGCACCATGTACCCCGCTGCGAGGAGCGAGAGGACAACGTGGGCGCCCAGGAACCCTGTCGGTGCGGCGCCCAGTCGCCGAAGGCGGAGCAGAAGGGCAAAGGGGAGGGGGGGGGGGTGTCAAGGTCTGGTTCGATCTGGCAAAAAGAAGACAGCGGGGGAGGACGTACCGTTGGCACCGGTGACGACGACGGCTTCCTTTGTCATTTTTGCGCGCCTTTGTTCGGATCCTCCAATCGATCGTGGGTGGGTTGCTGCTCGGTGCTCGGATCCAGCTTGCTTCGCTTGCGCTTGGTCTGTCGGTACGGTCAATTTGCTCGCTCGTTGCAAGAGGCTTGATGATCGTGTCTCCTCGACCTACGGGGCATGTGCAGAGCAGTAACGTTTGAGACGGGGACGACGTCGCCCCTACCTCTTTATACCCTTTAAGAGGAGAGAGTCGCCTGCAATGCTCGGGGCTAGACACGATACGGTTCGGACGCCGGCTCGCGTGGCCTCGCCCTGGGCTCCGCATCGGAAAAAAAAAAAAAGTCAAAGTCGCGCTCGCGCTCGTGCTCGAAACGATATTCCGGTATGCTCGCGTGTGCGCCAGCCCGTGCCGGGACCTCACCACAGCTCGACAACAAGTCGACTCTCGTATGCCGTTACCGCCTCCCTTGAGCAAGCGAGCGACACGACACGTTCCCCCTCCTACCTGCCTACCTGCCTGCCGGGCTACTCTGCTAGGCTGCATTCGGGAATCGGTCAACGGGCTTCTGTATGCCCTCTTCATGGACCCCCCCCAACCCGACTTGCCGACCTACCCCGCACGTCCTACTGCCGTAGCGCAAAAGGGACCGAGACGAGGGCAACTGGAGCGCGACAACGGTTCGTCTTCTGCACGGAAGAAAGAGAGACGGAGGTCAGACAAAGGCGGACTAGAGAGATAGGGTAGCAATCGTGGATTTCGCACGGCACGGCACGGCAAGGATCGGATGACGGTATCAGACGGAGCACAGCGAGAGATTCAGAGGAAGCGGACGGACAGAACTTCTATGTGAACGGGAACCGAATCGGGGTCGCGAGGGAGCGGAGAGGTGGACCATCTACTGCGGAACTGAGACGGAGACTGGGACGGATCTGGATCTGGAACTGGAACTGGATCTGGGAATGGAACTCGAACTAGAGGCAAAGAATGGAAAGGGACGCTGCCGCAGCGCGAGCGCTACGCCGCCTCCTCGACTGCCCGCCCGTCGCCGCCGGCGGTGACGAGCGGCAGACGGAAGCCATACGAGTCGCCGATCCTCTCGGCGCGCACCTCGGGGTCGAGGAGCACCTCGGACTCGAGCTCGGCTGGGTACGGCGCGTGCTCCTTGATGCGCACCAGGTCGCCCTTGACGAGGAGCGACTGCATCCGCCGGAACGTGATGGCCTGGCGCCGCTCGCGCCGGGAGAGGTACGCCTCGAAGTCGTCGCGCGACAGCCGGCCCAGCAGGTGCGAGCCGTGCAGCACCAGCACCGCGCCGCCGACCTGCCCAAAGCCAAACGACGTCACCAGCCCCGCGTGCAGGTCGGTCCGCGTTCGCGCCAGCGACGTGCACGGGTACATGAGGTAGTCGAACCGGCGCAGCTCGGCGGCAATGTCGTCGGCGTTGCGGTTGCCCGCCACCGTGGCGCTGTTGATGCTCTGCATCAGCCCGTTGATGGCCAACGCCGCCGCACCGCCCTTGGCGTGGCCGCACAGCCACTTTTGCGCCATGGCCGGTACCGCGTTGCCCGGCGTGCGACCGATGCGCTGTAGCAGCTTGTGGTACACGTCCGACTCGTTGCGGTCGTTGGCCTTGGTCGAGGTGCCGTGCATCGAAATGACGCCGACGTCGTCGCCGCCGAGCCCCCACGACGCGAGCGCGCGCTTGAGCGGCGCCGCCGTCGACAGCACGCCCTGGCCGGGTGCCGGGATCGAGCGGCCCTGGCGGTCCGAGGCGGTGCGCGAAAAGGCGAGGATCCCGTTGATGGGCGCGCCGATCGCGAGCGCCGTGGCCGCGCTCATGACAATCTGGACGCCGCAGCCCATGCTCTCGACGAAGCCGCTGCGGCCGCTCGTCATGGGCTTGGACATCTCCGAGGCACCGAGGCCCGCCTGGAAGGCGTCGTCGGACGACGCCGTCGCCTTCATCTGGGCAAACTCGAACATGCTCTCCTCCGAGAGGCCCTCGTAGCCTCCGGCGACCATGATCTTGGCCTTGCCCGAGCGGATCGTCTCGGCGGCCACGTCGAGCGACTGGAGCGCCGTGGCGCACGCGCCCACCGTGGGCGTGATGGGCCCGCACGACGAGACCAGCAGCAGGTTGATCCAGCCGGCGACGGTGTTGATGAAGGTCTCCTGGAGGATGTCGTTCTGCACCTCAACGTCGTTGCGGCGGTCGCGGAACATCTTGCTGAGCGAGTTGAGGCCGCCCATGGCCGAGCCCAGGCAGGTGCCCACCTCGGAGACGTGGACGTGCTTGAAGAGCTCGTAGGGGTCGTCGATGCCCGCCTCGACGAGCGCCTCGGCGACGCAGACGAGCGCGTAGAGCGCCGTCTCGTCGGTCTGGGCCACAATGTCGTCCGGGATGCCGTAGCGCGCCGCCGACCAGCCGGTGGGCAGCTGGCCAGCTACGCGGCGGTCGAAGCGGACGGCCTTGGGCAGCAGGATGCTGGCGCCCTTCTTGAGCCGCATGTACCAGCTGCCCGTCGCCGGGTCCTCCCAGATGGCCACGTTGTCGCCGTGCTGCAGCCTGTACTTGGCCGCCTCGGACGCAGACACCTCGAGCGCCTCGAGGTCGTGGTTGAGCTGGACCTCCTGCGTGTAACCCTTGCGGTCCGGGTCGAAGCCGCGCAGCAGCTCGGGCTCGACGAGGCGGATGCCGGCGTGCTCGAGGATCTGCTTCTCGTACCGCGCCCGCACCTCGGAGTCGTGCACCGGCTCGCCCGTCTTGGCGTCGACCCAGCCGACGTAGGCCTTGCCCGACGCGAGCTTGCCGTCAAAGTGGCGGATCTTGCCCGTCAGCCAGGCCATCTCGATCAGGCCCTCGACGCTAAAGGCGCCGTCAACTTCCATTTCCCAGCGGGTCCTCGAGGATCCCCAGGGCCCGACCTCGGCGAAGCCGGTGACGACGATGACCTGGTCGAGGTCGAGCGGGCCCTCGCTGCGGGCGATAGCCTGGTTGAGCTCGTGCGAGCCGACCTCGGGGTAGGCGAACTTGGACAGGCCGCGCGGCTGGAGCTGGGCGGTGCGGTGGAGGTCGGCGGCCGCGTGCCCCTTTGTGACGGCGAACTCGTTGGAGCTCTCGGCGATGAGGGAGCGGCGGATCTCGGACGCCTGCTGGGCCGCGGCCGTCTTGGAACGCATGTGGTACGAGATGTTCTTGACCTGGCTCGCGTCGCCGGTCAGGTCGAGCATGACGGGCTCGATCTGGTTGGCGGCGGCAAAGTCGGGGTCGAGGAGGCCCATGAGGTTGAAGGCCATCTCGTGGGTGCTGAAGGTGCGCAGGCCAAGGTCGCGCTCGAGGCCCTCGGCGACGACGTCGAGGTCGGCCATCAGGTCGGTGCCGCGGCAGATGCCGATGTTGGCGCCCGTGACAAAGAGGTAGTCGGACCAGTCTTCGGAGCGCACCGAGTTGAGCAGCGTCTCGAGGCCGATCTTGCTGGCGCCGTAGAGGCCGTCGTTGCCGATGACGCCGTGGTTGAACGAGAGCGGGAGGATGACCTGAGTGGGTCGGTTGTGCAGCCTGCGCGCCGACTTGTGCGTCTTGATGGCGCCCATCAGCCGGACGACGTTGGTCAGCATGATGCGGTGGGCCAGCTCGCTCTGGTCGTCGATGCCGTCAATCTGCCGTCCGTTCTCCGAGATGGCGGCGAACGGCACCAGGACGTCGATGTCGACCTTGAGCGTCGAATAGACGTACTCGACGACGGCCGATACGTCCTTGCGCGAAGCCTGGTTGAAGGGCACCACCGTCAGCCGCGAGCCGCGGCCACCCCACTCGCGGTAGAGCTTCTGGAACTCCTGCGCCTTCTTGGGCGAGAAGCTCGAGGTGGTGACGATGACGCGGGCGCCGCCCGAAAGGAGGCGCTTGACCATCTCAGCGGCGATCGAGCCCTTTCCGGCGCCGGTGACGAGCACGTTGAGGCCGTGGTACGACCGCCCGTGCTTGGCCAGGTCGAGCAGGCCGTCGAGGTAGAGCTGCGTCAGCTCCTCGTCAAAGAGCCACGAGGCTCGCTCCTTGCGCGCCGCGCGAAGCCAGGGCGCCTGCCCGTCGGCGGTGCTAAACGAGATCGCCGACCTCTCGGCCGTTGAGTCGGTCGAGACGGTCTTCTGTAGGGCGTTGCCGAGGACGTCGGACAAGGAGCACACAGGTGGGCGGTAAGAAGCGTCAGTGCCCGGCTCATCAACGTATCCGGCGGGCACGCCCGCACCGCTCGAAACAGCAACTCACCTGTTGGACCAGCTCCAGCGTACGCGGCGCCGCAGCCGTCGAGCGGTAGCGCCCGCTCGAAGCCATCTGCAGCACGTAGTCTTCCAGCGAGGCGAGCCCGGCGCGGGGCACCTCCTTGTAGACGGTGTTGCCGCGCGCGTCGAGCGAGGTGCTCGGGCCCAGGGGCGCGCGGGCGTCCTGGTAGCGGCTGGGTCCATCGAAGCGGCAGGCGAGGAGCAGCTCGCAGACGCGGAGGGCCAGCGCCTTGCCAGGCCCAGAGGCGGCCTCGAGTCGCCTCCGCTCGTGCTCGAGGGGTGCGGGTCCGTCGAGCTGGTTGACGAGGGCGATGCAGCGGGTTGCCAGCTCGGCATCGCTGTCGTCGATCTTGCCCGAGAGCAGGTCGGCGAAGAGGAGCGCCACGTTCTGCCTCGACCAGTTCCAGTAGCTCTCGTAGTGGCGAGCGTGGAGCGGCTCAAACTTGCCCTGGATGCCGTTGGTGTACGAGTCGCCGTGCTCGGCGAGGATGTCGTCAAACATCCGCGTCACTCGCTCCAGGTGCTCCTGCACACCCTCCTGGGCGCGCTTCGACAGGTCGACGTCGACGCCAAGGTAGTCCTGCAGCGCCTGGATCTGCTTCTGGGCGTGGGCCTCCTGCTTGGCCTGCAGCAGCAGCAGCTCCTGGCTGCTGACGACGGCGCCTCCAGCCGCGCCGCCCGACTGGCCAGCACCGCCAG